GGCAAAGATTAAGGAATGGAAGCGCCAGGCAGCTAGCAGAGATTCTTTGGGAGATTGAAGCGAAGAGAGGAGAGGGCAGGCTAGCGGAGATTGTTGAGGAAGAGGAGAGGGCAGGCTAGCAGAGATTGTTGGGAAGGGAAGGGCAGGCTAGCAGAGATTATTTGGGATCTATTTCGAGCTTGGATTACTTTTTAAATGACCAGTGAAGCGAAAAATCGGAGTCGTTTCGTCGTTTCCGTTCGGGCCGAAAGAGCTCATCCTGGTTTCCTCAAGGATCTCGGCTATGCGCCCCTTCCATTCCCAAACGATCTTTGCTAGCCTGTCCCTTACATTCCCAAATGATTTCTGCTAGCTCGCCACAATCGCAATTCTTTCCCTCATCTGAAACTTATCCAGAAAACCCCCCCACGCTCTCGATAAACGGGTCGTAAAGAAGCGACGGTGATCTAGGAGAGAGAGAGAGAGAGAGAGAGAGAGAGAGACGACTACACGCGGCTCCTTTGATCCGTCTCCTGGTTGATTGCGCGGGCGTGCTATTGGGTGGTGATGGTGATACGGGTGATCGCCCCACGGGGCGGAGACGATTCATGGCCCCTTTAACCTCTCCCGAAAACGGCTACGACGAAAGACGATACGTTGCGCAAGCGATACAAATCATCGATGAGAGAGAGAAAGACAGAGAAAGAGAGAGAGGAGAGAGAGAGAGAGAGAGTGAGCGAGCGAGACAGAGATTGCGAGAGAGTGAGAAGGAGAGAGAAATTTTAGGTTACCGTCAATTGAGCGGAAGTGGGTAATGGGCCACTAAAACTTTCATTATCTCTCTCAATTTCTCTCCCTCTATCTCTCTCTCTCTCCCTCTCTCTCTCTCTCTCTCTCTCTCTCTCTCTATCATCCTCTCTCTCGCCTACTTCCAAAAACTAACCTTTTCCCTCAAGATACAGTACCCCGATAAGCAATCGGGAATGTCTTTGAGGGCAGCTTTCGAGGTCGTTAGGCGGTTTTTAGGGGAAAACAAGGTTTGAGATTAGATCTCGAGTCGAGTCTCTCACTTTTTTTGGGTTGACCTTAGCAAAAAACATCAAAATTAGGTGGCTAAGACAAATGGTGCTTTTTTTAATTGAATTTAATTTTAATTTTTTAAAAAAATCTGCCTTTTAAAGAGACTACGAAGCGCGGGAATCGACTCCTGTCGTCGACTAGGTCTGGACAACTAGGTGACACGCTAAAATTCGCATAAGCAGGGCTTGATCGGCTTTGTTTTTGAAAATGCCGCGTAGTTCGAAACGTTTCTGGCCAGTCGCGGAGCTGTCTAGACCTAGCCGTTTCCAGGGGTCGATTGTCGGCGCTTGTTCTGCTGTTTATAACTCGGTTTTTTAGCAAGATAACGAAAATGAACATTTATTTTAGCTAGTCGTGTATTTGTCTAGACCTAGTCGGTGTGAGGGGTCGATTTTCGGCGCAATTTATGCTATATCTAATCCGAATTTTTATGCAAAAATAACCGAAATATATATTTGTTTTGGCCGGTAGCGTATTTGTCTAGATCTAGTCGATGCGGGGCGTCGAATTTTTTAGCTTTCCGAGCCCTTAAAAATGTCGCCGAGACCCTAATTTTCCAGCCGTTCCCTCGAAAAGTGGAAGGCTCTCAGGCAAGACTTTGCTAGATCCTCCCTAGCTGACTGGAATGTCCCCCCAATAGATCCGATCCCCAGATATTGGTTTGTAAAGACAAAAAGCCGGCGGCCGCGATCTGATCCCAAACGAGATTACAGTGAAGGAGACTCGTCCCTTTCATGCCCCATCCCCAGTTCCCTCATTGACTCATTCTCACCCTCTCCTAAACGGGAGGGCACGTGTAACGAATAAAACGTGAAAAACGCGGCCGAATTTGTGCAGCGGTGGGCCTTGGAGGGATGCGAAAAAGGTGTGAAAGGGAAAAACGGGCGGTTGGCTTTGGTGAGGTCAAAGAGGGCATGAAAAGGGCTAGAGAGCGCTATGCAAATATTGTGGATTTTGTTGATCTTGCATTTTTTCCAACCTATGCAAATGAGGCTAATTTCGGGGTTTTGATCGGGCCTAATTGTTAAGGCAGTTTTTTTTTCAAAACCCTAAAAATTTATTCAAAATGAGAAATTGGGAAATTTGCCTTCAGAAGCTCGCTAAGAAAGCCGATTGGCATTTCGTTAATTTTGACTTTAACAGCTAATTTTCCCGGCAAATTATCTAAAATCATCATATTTTATTGGGGTTTTTTGCAGTTTTCGACTACGGTACCTGTCTCGCACAGATCTGACTTCACCAGTCCTTTAAAATGCTAATTTTCCGTGAATTTTGTCTAAAAATGACAATTTTTTGACTCCACAAAGGTTCTTCTACCAGGTTTTTCGGACCCGGTATCCGATTTTTATACATGCCATTTCGTATCGTTTCGCGTAGCTGTCTAGGCCTAGTCGCTCCAGAGGATCGATTTTCACGCTTTCTAGCCCCTTTAAACCACAATACAAACCGAAACCAACCCAAGCCCATTCGCCCCAACCAATCACCCTAAAGCCCCCAATTCCCAGGCGCCAAAAAATCACCCAATTCTCACACCTGCCTCTAGGTTACGGTATCCCATTACCCACACCATACACATTGGAAAGGCATGAGGCTGGTGGCCTCTAGGCAATAAAGTGCACCTGGCCGGCCTGGGTGCCAAAATATGCTCAAAATTACGAGGGCCGCCCGGGCGAAATTGGGTCAAATTAGGTGCGAGCGAGCGAGAGGAGAGAGAGAGAGAGAGAGACAGATGGAGATCAAAGAATGCTTCCGGCATCACTGCCCCGAGTTCATTCAACCGATTCAACAATATAATGAGGTAACTGGGCCATATTTTCGCCCAGGACCCCTGGGGCAGTACCTTAAAAGGTATGGTATGCTAATTCGGGTGGGAATATGGCAGGCGTCTTAGAGCTAGAGATAGAAAGAGAGAGAGAGAGAGAGAGAGATAAAGAGAGAAAGAGAGAGAAAGATGGCGCTCTATATTTAAGGGATGGGTGACCCGGGTAAGATGCCCTCGAGGCATTGTTTTTCTTGAGAAGGGCGCATCTTTGACCTATTCAAAATGTGCCGCGCGGACAGTGGGAGAGGCTGGCAGCTAATAGGGGGTTATGGTGCGTAGGATCGTGATGGGGATACTGTAGAAAACGCAAAAAAAAAACACTAAAACCCCACGATGAAATTTAGATGGGCATTTTGCTGTCGTTTTTGCTTTACGGCTTCCTTTAAATGCCAGGCAATCGAATGCCAATATTTTTTTACATTTAAATTCCTTTTAAAAACGCTAGAGCCAGTTTCAAATAAGTTTAGAGAGCAAAAGATTTATCTTCTTGGTCCCTTTAAATCAAAAACTTTGATTAGCCAAGTTTTTGACTTCACTAGCCCTTGAAATCGGCAAAAAAACAGGGTTTTTTAAGTCACTTAGGACGCTAAATTTACATATTTGCCTTCATAATCCCTTTAAAACCACAATGTTCTACTCAGATCAGCGTTCTGACTTCTAGGTCCCTTTAAAACGACAAAAATCGTCTTGCTACAGTAACCAAGGTTCCTGACTTTCCTTCCCAATCCCGTTAATTTCCCAAAACCCCCAACTGCCCAATTCTGATCCCCTTGTCCCCTCCCAAATCCTCTCCCCCAACAACCCCCTAATCCCTAAAATCTGCCCCTTGTACTGTTATTCAGAGGGAGCGAGTGTTCCCCCTACATGTCGCACACAGGCGCGCGCGTAGCCCTAATTTTACGATTATCTCCGCGCGGGTGCTTTCCGCGGCCTCGCCCCGGCACTCAAGGCATTGTCGCGCTCTCTCTCTCTCTCGCTTTTTTCTCTCTCTCTCCCTCTCACATTAGGTTTTTGTTTCATGCCCTCGGGTGAGGTGGCCTAATGGATTGATGTGTGTAGGGGATCGGCGAGTTGATGGGAACATAATTACGGACAGTTCTGGTATGCCGGTTACGGTATTACACCGTTTTAAAGGGATTGGGAAGCCAACATCCTAGGCTTGGAGTTAGGCATGAGTTAAGCTTAAGCTTAGGCTTGGGCTTAGGCTTAGGCTTAGGCTTAGGATTAGTCTTAGGCTTCGGCTTTAGCATTGGCTTCGTGTCGGCTTAGGCTGCGGCTTTGTTTAGGTTGAGAATTAGGCTTGGCTCTGTCTAGGCTTAGGCTTAGGCTTAGGCTGGGGCTGCGCTTAAGCAGCTAGGCTTAGGCTTGCTTAGAATAACCCAAACATTCTCTACCATAATCCATTATCTGTTTTTGTTTCCCCTTGTCCTTAGTTGGCTAATGGATTAACGCGTAGTCGCGGGCGGGCAGCTACGACCCCGAACTATCCACACTCACAGGCACACAGCGGGTGGGGGACATCCATTCACTAATTAGGCGGGTGTTCCGCTGTCAAAATCGAGCAAATGGGTTTGACTGTTGGTCTCTTTCTTGCTCTTTTTCTCTCTCTCCCTCTCTCTCTCTCACGCTCTCCTAAGAATCTACGCAAAAACTCTTTTATTATACCCCCGGCTGGCCGATCCCCCGGGGCGGCCGACCTGTAAGAGGTGTCAATTTACCTAGGTCACTGTCAGGTCGACATACAAATGTGGCGAGAGAGCGAGAGAGCGAGAGAGAGAGACCAAGATACACAGACAGCGAGAGAGACAGACAGAATTACCTACTCCTAGTGCAAAAAGGAACACACACGACATTCACCGGGTCAACAGAGCGTCGCATTTCCGGCGCGCTCCTCAGGACATTTGAGACTATTAGGAGGGGGGTAAAAACTGTAACTCAGAGTGGTGACCGATCGCCGTATTCCGTACAAAAATATATCACCTTTTCTTGCCTTTTAAGCCCCCAAAAACCCACCTTGACACCGATTCCTGGACTCTGGAAAGTAGCCGGCTTTGCATTGGCACCCTCCATCGACCGGCGTCTTCCATTGACCGTCAGCCCGACACATTCCCATAGGTGGGACACCCTCACGGACCGGTTCAGCGTGGTCCACGCATCTGAATTCATAAAAATTAGCTTAGTGAACGATTTAAAGATTATTGAAATTAAAATAGAACGCTCAGCAATGCCGCAGAAATTTTTTAACCTCGAATTTATTTTTCAAGACAGATCAAATTCGCAGTGTAAACGTGCGTAAAAGGTTCGGATCGGGGCTAAAATTGTAGAAATACGAAAATATCAAATACATTATGATTTAATAAAGGTTCAAACATTAAAATCCAAAGTTAAAAATACTGCACTCACCGTCCTTTCACATCAACCGTATCGAAGACCTTGGCTGAGGTGGAGGTCTCCGGGAATGTGGTGAAGCCGAGGGTTTCTTCGGCGCACAGCTCGTAGTAGATCTGGAATTGGGAGGGTTGAGAATGTAAATCTCATAAATATCTACACAATTTTGCCTTTAATCGTCCTTTAAAAAAAAGACTAGGTGCATAGAAAAAGCTTGCAAATTAAAAAATTGAAGTTTTGAGTGGAGAAAAATGGATCTAGGAGCAGGATTTTATCTTCAATGGCCCTTTAAAACGTTTAAATCGCCTAGAAAAGTGCCTGATATCAGAAAACTCTAGTCATAGTTCCCTTCAACGGTCTTTTAAAGTCTAGGAATAGCTGGCAAGTCGCGAAAAATCAAGAAACATTGCTAAAATACGCAAAAAACAGTTAAATTTGACTTCAATGTCCTTCGAAAGCTGATATTTTTATATACTTTAATAATTTAGGCCCAGAAAATCGCGAAAATCCATTGCCCCTGCCTTCACCATCCCTTTAAACCGTCCTCAATTTCCGATCAGTCCCCCTCGATTCCCCTAATCGGTTGGCACTTTGCTCCCGAGGGGGTGCGATTGCTGGTCGTCCCTCAGAGATTCTAGCTGTCAACAAAGAAAGTCTCGTTCTCTCTTTCTCTCTCTCCCGCTCTCTCTCTCTCTCCCTCTCTCTCTCCCCTCATCAAGGCCGGGAGGCACCAAAAAATCGGAGGAGGGGAAGGTCGCTCGCGCGCGCTAGCGCCAATGCGGAAGCCTAATCCCACACTAGCGAGGGGGGCCCTGAATTCGCCCGCAAAATGCGACGGGTAAACGGAATAATCGGCAGGGTGGGGGAGGCTTTTTGCTGGGGGTGCTCTTTGTTTCTCTGATCCTCTTCTTCTCTGGGTTCTCTAGTCAAAAAAACTGGGTTTAGCAAGTGAAAAATGCAAATTTTAGCTCTAGCTTTCTTTCTCTCGCTCTCTCTCACGCTTTCTCTCCCTCTCTACCTCTCTCTCTCTCTCTCTCTCTCTCTCTCTCTCTCTCTCTCTCTCTCTCTCTTTCTCTCTCTACTCTCTCTACTACAGGTAAAATTGCTGTTTCAAAAAAAGCTATTCAAATTAGCGCCAAGAATATTTCGGTTCTGTTCTCTCTTTTCTCGCGGTTTTAGTTGTCGGGATTTTGGCCATCGGCGTTTTTCCCTGTCGGGCTTTTGGTTGTCGGGCTTTTTCCCTGCCAGGATTTTGGCATTTTGCGATTTTGGTTGTCGGGATTTCCGCTGTCGGTATTTTTCGCTGTCGGTATGTTCCTGTCGGTGTTAAGGCTCGAATTCCTCCCTCCGTCCCTCCCTAGAGCGGAAACAATGGCAACCCCCCCCCCATCCATCTGCACGCCTAGCTGCCCAGGGCTGGCTGTAAAATGGGATTAGCATGAGGCATGGATTGGGGCTGACCTCGAGGTATTCCTAGGCACACCTGAGCCTCCCACTCCCCCACTAACCTCTATTAGCCGATCAGATCCCGAGTATTCTCGGGTGAGGCTGGGAATGGGCCCCCCAAGCATCTGCCTAGCCCCCCAATAACCTGATTAGCATTGCCGGGCCATAGAATCGGTGGGCCCAGGATTCGATTAGGCTTATGAATCGTGCCGACCCCCACACCGACGAGCTCAAAGCCACGCGCAAATTGTCATTAGTGCGGGAAGCAGCCGGGTAAGTGAACATCGGGCTTTCGGTATTTCTATGTCCCTCACCCAGTCTTCCAGCCCTTAAAAACCGCTGAAAACATCATTTCTAGACTTCTAAATGATGCTAAACTTTCAAAAACTACATTATCAATGTATCCCCCAAAAAGCAAAAAGGAAAGGTCTTGGCCGGGATCGAACCGGCGACCTTCTGCGTGTGAAGCAGACGTGATAACCACTACACCACAAGACCATGGGGCGGAGGCGCTGGGAGAGGGTTATGAAGGGAGAGCCGGTCCCAGGCTGGCGGTGCGCCTGCCGTCCGAATTTTTAGATAAAATTTTTGGCATCAGAAAAGGTTTAAAAAGCGCATTAATGCTAATTACACCTCAATTTAAAACAATAGAGAAATTTGTAGTGCTTTCAGCCCCGAGGAATTTTTTTATTTCAAATTTATAAAGCCACCCCAGGCCGCAAAATTGCGAAAAATCAAAATAGGATTATTCCGAAACTTTCCGGTATTTACACCTTCCACAACTCGCCAACACGAGCTGCCCCTCAAGGTGTTGTGCCCCAGGGCCCCGGGGCCCACGCGAGAATGGGCCCCCTATTTGTTTGCCAGGTTGTCTTTCACGCCACTTATGGTGTGAAGGGCAATTGCTTAGCAGGTCAGGGGCCAAATACTCGCAAGAAATCGGATGTGCCCCGAGAGTATTTGGTGTTGGGGGCCACTAATGAATATTTGCACGCCAACACCCTTCCCCTAGGGTATTTCTCTCTCTCTCTCTCTCTCTCTCTCGCTCTCGCTCTCTCTCTCTCTCTCTCTCTCACTCTCCCTCCTCTGGGGTGTCAATAAGTTAAGAGGGCCCCTGAGGAGTCAGGAACTGCCAATTTAATGCGCGTGTTGATAGGATGGTGCCGGAATTTTGGAGTGGCTTGCGGAGCTCAGAAAGTAATGAAATTTTAGGCCTAACGGGTCAACCAGAAATTTGCATATTCGAGCGATTGGAAGAGCTTTTAGAGACGTCTGAGAACAAAACAGAGAAGCATCAAAAAAATCGAAAAATCGGAAAAATATCCAAAATGACAACTACCAACCTTCACGGCCAGGATGGAAACGCAGCTGCCGGTATCGCGAAAAGCGAATCGAACATTCGAGCCGTTGACGACCACGGTGTGGACTTCTTCGTTTTTCATCAGACCGTTTTCACGAGTTCGTTCTCCACCGGTAAGGCGGCTCAGAAGGGTCCTTAACGATCAAATATTATATCCTTTCTCTCTCTCTCTCTCTCTTTCTCTCTCTCTCTCTCGCTCTCTCTCTCGCCGACTTCAAAACTCACCAATCACTCTGATTCGGGTTGAAGCCCTGGAGAACATCATCGACTCCTTTCGGAACGGTTTTATAGTAGAGCCCAAACGTCTCCTGCAGTATTTTCCGGCTTTCCCGCAATCACGAAGGGAGTAGTTGGTATAGATGTGGACTCTAGAAAATAATCTAGCGATTTTCGGACGTATTCTTACCGATTTGCCCTTCCGGAATCTCTCAGCGGCGTGAAAAGCCAGTTGTCGACAAATTGCTCATCGAGGTTGCAGGAGACGTAGGCGCGCTCGTTCGAGTTGGAGACGCCGGAGTAGGTTTCTTCGCTCCACTGAAAAATAGGAAATTAGATAATTGTTTCGTTCTCTCTCTCTCTCTCTCTCTCTCTCGTTTTCCGGGTATAAAATGATTCGATTTTTTGACATAAAGTTTGTATTTTTAAGCGATGTTTAATTGTTGTCATGACTTTTTCGGTCTTAAATTTGCATAAATCCACTTTTAGAACCTTTATGGTTAAGAACAGCATATTTCCAGCCTTCCTCGTCCTTTAAAGTACTCCCCCACCATTTTACATGCCAACACCTCAAAATTGGTCCCGCCACGCGCCTCATAATCTATAGCCCATCAATCTCGCTGCCTTGCCGACCCCTTTAGCGCTTCCTTTTCACGTTTCTTCGGGTTCGATTTATAAGGGTGGGTTTCGGCTGGCGGACGACACCCCCACCAAAAGCCATTAGTCATCACCCGAAGGCTCGAAAGGGTGGAGAAATTGGTGTTCTGTGGGCGCCGTTCTGAGGAGTGGTACGTAGGCGCGTGGGGATTGGTGGGTTCCCGAGGCCTTTAGGGAAAAGGAAAATTCTAGGATTCTTTTCCAAAAAAAAATGTAAGTTCATGACGGTATTTTTGTGCCAAAAGCTCAAAAATACCAAAAAAAAAGAAAAATTACAGTAAGTTGCTACAAAATTTACCTTAAAAATTACAAAAGGTGAAACTGGCTCCTATAAAAATTCTATAGTTTTTATTTTCCTTTCGAGTCCGTTTAAAACTACAAGAGATTCGGAAAAAATTCTGGTCTGCCACTAGACACCTTAAAAAAAACAGAAAAACCTGGATCGTGGTCTAGAAAAATCTACGACCTTAGTTTTGACCACTAAATTTCTTGAAAATTATTGTATTTTTTGCCACGAGTAATTCTTATGCCATTTCTCATATTTAATTAAATTTCGACATTTTCTCCCCATGCACTTTCCTGCCCCAGGGCGGCCCTTTAAAGGTAACGGGGGCGGCGCGGGGACGTGCCCTCGGGGCATTAGCCACTAACATGACATTTCTCTGGTTGTGGCTGGCGTAACGTGTGTTTATGAGCCGATGAAGACGAATCGCCCATCCCCCATGGGAAGGTCTTTGCCATTTCTTTTCGAGCCATCATAACGCGCTTGAAAAGGAAGCCGCGCCGCGCCGGAAACGCCATACGAAAACGGCAGGATTATTGGCCTTGGGATGATTGGCATGAGAAAGTTGGGAAATCAGGGTTTAAAGGACTGGGAAGTTCTGATTTTTGAGGTTCATTTTTATCGAGCTACCCCGCGGAATTTCAATTCCCCATTCCCTTGAAAATCGACGCGGGAAATCGTATGTGTTTACGACAGCTCTTATAGGGGGATTGGTGGCCGGGTGCCCAGGCGCAGAGGGCCCAAGGGCCCACTGAGAAAGACCACGGCCAAAAAGGAGCAAAATGCCCATTATGAATCCCTCGGCTACCCGCAACCCGATGAACATTTGCGACGCCTCGGGACATGCTATAGCATATGCAGTTGGGGCTTTACAGGGTTGGGAAACCGACGAAAAAGCTAAATGATCTCCGCTAGCCTGCCCCTTCCATTCCCCAAATGATCTCTGCTAGCCTGCTCCTTCCATTCCCAAATGATCTCTGCTAGCCTGCCCTTCCATTCCCAAATGATCTCTGCTAGCCTGCCCCTTCCATTCCCAAATGATCTCTGCTAGCCTGCCCCTTCCATTCCCAAATGATCTCTGCTAGCCTGCCCCTTCCATTCCCAAATGATCTCTGCTAGCCTGCCCCTTCCATTCCCAAATGATCTCTGCTAAGGCCTGCCCCTTCCATTCCCAAATGATCTCTGCTAGCCTGCCCCTTCCATTCCCAAATGGTCTCTGCTAGCCTGCCCCTTCCATTCCCAAATGATCTCTGCTAGCCTGCCCCTTCCATTCCCAAATGATCTCTGCTAGCCTGCCCCTTCCATTCCCAAATGATCTCTGCTAGCCTGCCCTTCCATTCCCAAATGATCTCTGCTAGCCCGCCTCGAAAATTAGCATACACCCCTCCAAATTTCGCGCATAATGCACTCCCCTTTGCTTCCCGGGGCAATAAATCTCAATCTCCCGCCTATCCCCATACAACCCGGCACGCGCTCCGATATATCCTCGGGGCTTCGGATCTCGCAGTGGGTAATCAATTAATCACCGCTTCCCAACCCTCCCATCCCTATATGTTGCGGCTGTCGGGATGTGGAGCGCCGCGGAATGTTCCCAATCCCTTTAACCAGATCCTCGTCTTTAGGAGCCACCCGTAGCCCCTATCTCCGCTGGGGGATCGCCGAAAACAAAGCACTAATCTCGAATGCGGGAGAGAGAGAGAGAGAGAGAGAAAGAAAGAGAGAAAGAGGAGAGAAAGAGAGAGAGAGAGAGAGCGAGAGAGAGCATCGTCAGACAGGTCGTCGACCTCCTCGAGAATTAGAACGAGATTTATAGGGATCACCTCTCAAAAATCTCACGTATTGTTGGAGCCAAGCTTTGAATTTTGACAGGCAAACCTGCGAGAGCTTTGAGGAATCGATACAGGTAAGGAGATGACGAACAATTAAAATTTTTGGGGTTTAAATAGCTATAAAAATGGATTTTATGTAAATTCGGCCCAATTTCGCGGAAAATAATCGATTACGCGATGAAAACACCCACCGTTTCCGTGTCGTAGAACGTGCGCACCTCCCATTTCAGCTCGTTCTTCTCGCCGGACGTGGAGAGGATTTCGACTGAAAAATAGGGAGGTTTGTAGGCCATAAAATGAATTTTATTTGCTTCTCCGCAAGTATCTCTGCTAGCCTGCCCTCGAAACGAGTCAGAATTGATTTATTTTCCTTGCTCTTAAGACCGGTATCTGCCAAATTTGCATAAATGCCTGCAGGCATTGTCCAACTCGCAGCTGGTCGCCCTCAAGGGGAATTGACATGAGCGTGTCTGGGTGGGTGGCCAGGTGCTACCTGTCGCGCCGATTTGCCTTCTTTCTCTGGGTATCTCTGTCTCTCCACTCGCTGCCCTCCGACTCTGATTGTCAAACAAAAAGCGTCAGACAGTTGCGCACTTGTCGCCTATTCGTTGAAGTGACTCGAGATGACTGACCCCTCGTCAAATTGTTGTGTAACCGGGCAAATGTATGCTAATGAGGGGAGAGAGAAAGCGAGAGAGGGAGAGAGAAAAGCAAGGAAAAATCTTGGGATTGAGAGAGAAAGATTTTCTTGGACCGTAGAGGGCCAAAAGAAGCGAAAATTTGGGAATATCTAGGCAATTGGAAAACGGTAAGCTAGCAGAGATCATTTGGGCATAGAGTGGGCATGCTAGCGGAGATCAAAAACGTACTCAAAAATTGTCCGCTAGTAACTGCCATAAATCTATTAGCCTCTAAAATTTATGCCTATTAGCCCGATGATTCCGCGATAAATTGCCTACGATTTTCACATGTGGTTCGATGTTTTCGCCTTTAAATTCGCCGAAATTATGTTGTTTTTCCGAGTGCCCGCGCCCCTCAAATGACCCCAGCAATCGGCACTGGCCGCTGGCCACTCGCCCCCCTTCCAAAAGCACTGGCCCGTGTTTATCTATGGCCTTCATTAGATAGCCCGAATCTTGAGGGAAGAGAGAGAGAGAGAGAAAGAGAGAGAGAGAGAGAGAGAGAGAGAGAGAGAGAGATCGACAAACTAACAAACCTCGATTGGGTCCCAGCCCCGAAAGGATTGGCGCGCCAAGCTGAGTGGAGTGCATTGGAACGGAGGAGAGCGGGCAGAGTAAAGTTTTGGAGTCGGCTAGCTAGCAGAGATTCTTGAGGAAGTATGTTTTTCTGAGGCAGGCTAGCAGTGATCCTTAAGGAAAATGTATTGTTTTCACTGGAAAGATACGATTTGAGGACCAGCTAGACGAGCTCTTTGAGAAAAACTAAGAATTTTGCTTTTGGCAAGTTAGCAGAGTTCCCTTGGCAACTCAAGCCCAAACCCAAATTCCGACACTGTACACATTACAAGGGGCTGTAAAACCATAGAATTCCCACCCGGGCAACAATTCCGAACCGTTCCTTGAGGTACACTGATCGTTCGGCTTTTCAGATGCAAATTTTGGGCGTGTTACGGGTTCACGCGGCCGGCAAGGGGTCTCAGGGTAAATCGGGAATCGTAAAGAAAGAGAAACAATTTTGAAGATTTATAAGGATTTAAAGACATTTTTTGATACGATACCAAAAAACTGAATTTTACTACGCTTTTTCTATGCCCAAATTTTCGCCGCTATGTGCTTTTTCCTCTTTTGCTCAATGCTCTCGCTAGGCTGCCTCACTCGATTCGTACAGCCCTTCGAAAACTTTTCACCTTACTCGCGCCTCGCTTGTCCCTTAAAAATGCATGGGCAGCCCGGTGAGCCGGGCGAGGAGGTGTCCGAAAAATGTGGGTGGGGGTGAACTTTACTTCTTTCTACGAGCGGTCAGTCAGCTTACTTAAGTTTTCATGTGGTCAGCGGAAAAGCAGAAGCGAAAACTACGTCTGGAAAGTGTAAAAAAACGTACCACGACTTTTTAAAGGGGCCGAGAGATCGAAAAAGAGCTCAATGCATAAATTTTCAAAAATCGCTTTTCCAAACGATTTCAGCTATTTTAATTTATTTTTCCGGTTTTTCAAGTGTCCAGACTTAATTTCTGACTTCCCGTTCCTTTTAAACTTTGAAAAAGAGCTGAAGATAATTTTAAAACGCGAAAATCGCTTGAAAATGTTTAAAAAGTAAGTGCCATTTTTAAGACTCTTTTCTAGGCTTTTGGATCGTAAAGGAACCATCTCAATACCTTTAAACTACGCTGCAAGGCGTTACAAAAAACTCCACCCGCCGAGGGCCCGGATTTCACACACCTCGCCCGGCCCATTAGGGACCAAATTTCGAGAGCTGGCCGGGCACCTAGGGGCATTAGAGCCGTCAGGTGCACAGGTGGTCGAGAGCGAGAGAGAGAGAGAGAGAGAGAGAGAGAGAGATAGATAGAGATCGAGGAGCACCACCTTAAGCCTTGGGCTATCAACTGAAAGGTGGCCGGGACGCGGAGGAGTGAAACGTACTCCATCGCTCACACCTGATCTCCTCGGCGGCCCGCGCGCGAGGAGGTGTAACCTTTCACGGGTTTTCCGGGGGTTTAAAGGGACCGTGACAAGATATTTTTGCTAGAAGTTAGCATGGTTCTAAATGAGGCTAAGAATGACCAAAAACCGGGAAGGACAAAAAATTCAAAACTCAATCTTTTCGCACTTTTTTGGCATATTCGCATTTTTCCAAGATTTTTAAAGGCACCGAAGCCGATTCAAAATTTTATAAATTAAACCCGAAGACCCCTAGAGAGCAGCTGAACCGGTAGAAGAGCATTTTTCAATTTTCTCGCTGATGAATTTGATTAAAAACCCACCTCTTTTACATTCAGCCACCCGCAGCAGTAGCAATAAACAGAATATCCGCAGCCGGCGCATCGAAAACTGGAGGAACGGGGGCTTGGGTTGCATTTTAGCTTTTGGTAGATGCGCTCAGCACATTCTTCGTGGGGACCCCGACAACAAAATGGGGTGGTGGAGTCTGGAGTTTATCTGGAAAAATGCTGCGTAAAAAATTGTAGCTTGTCGTTTTGAGAGCGAGAGAAAGAGATCATATAAAAACAAGAGAGAGAGAAAAAGTAAGAGAGAGAGTGAGAGATAAGACAAAAAATAAAAAACCAAGGCATCTGGCAGAGATGCTTCAGGAAAGTCTGAAATCTAGACAAATACAGTGAGAGAAAACGATAGAAGAGAGAACGAGAGAGGGAGAGAGAACGAGAGAGAGAGAGAGAGATAGAGAGAGAGAGAGAGAGAGAGAGCGGGGGAGAGAGACAAGAACAAGATAAAAATTCAAATCTTAAAATCTTCCTTAGGCTCCAGGCTTGGGTCATTAAAACCACACTCGACCTGTTTTATGTGTGGGCCAACATTCATTAGCCATTTCCGTTAGCGCGCCCCAAAAAGCCCGGGGAAGCCAGGGTGTCAAAACAGGAAACTGTGGGCCTCTGTTTGTGTGTGCATATTTGTCTGTCCGTCTTTTCGGGCCCTCGAAAGGAAGGGCAGGCACTAGGGACCCCGCATGGCTGGGAGGAAGGCGGGGCCTCGCCTGGCCCCGAGGCTCCGCCCCTTTAGGGGGCTGCGGAACGTCTCGGAGTTTCGGGCGACTTCTCTCGCCTCTCTCACCCACAAATTACCCCACAGCGACCTGATGTTAATGAGTGGATTGATTGATTGATTTGTGTCTGGGGAATGGTAAGGGCTGGGAATTGGGGTTTGAATATGCAAGTCATACCGAGAAGATCCTAAATGATCTCTGCTAAATTGCCACGTTTGGAAAGAATGAATCCTGATTTCCGGATCCCAAACTCCTAAGGAATCGCTGCTAGCTAGCCATTTTGGGGCCCCGGATCAGCATAACATCGCAAGTAAAGACTTCAAATGATCGCTGCTGGTTTTATGAATTCGCCCCCTACAAATTCCGCAAGGTTCTCTCCTAGCTAACCGGCACCCAGAGCACCAAATGAAGCTAAATCACGCATTAATGCTAGTTTGAAGCTCATCAGAGGCCGTTTTAAAATTGCTCAAAAGTCTTAGCTAGCTTGACAACTTCGTGATCTCTTCAACCAGACAAATAGTGGCATTAATGACACCTCGTATATCCCAAAGCGCTTTCCTCATGGCCGACTGTCAGCTGCTTTTGACCCGAGTCCGAAAAGGCCAATTGACGCATTAATTGTCGACCGGAGATAGCCACTTCTTCGAAAGCTTCTGCCGAAGAACCGATCCCACCCATTTTCTCAGCCCATTTCGAAGCGAGATTATGCAAAGCGGTGGGCAAAGGCAGCGCCACGCACACGCTCCCATTTTGTGCCCTCGCCTAGAAATAATGTGATCGTCTAGAGGCGCGGCGCGGGGGGCGTCGGTAGGGGGACTTGATCCCTAATGAATGGGGAGAGGGAAGAAGCCGAAAGCCGATGGGAAGGGGGGATGGGCTAACGATATGGGCTCGCCCAACGCCAGCGACTTTGATCAGATTAGGCTCCATTGCAACTGGCCAGGGGAGGGCCAAAGACAAAAGCGCGCTAATTGCCCTAAAGCACATATGGCGGTCATGAGGGGCCATTGGCCATGCAACCATGAGCCTCCTTAGCGCCCAAGGAGGTGGAGGAGCAGCTTTTCCTGGTCCATTAGTGTGAGGGTGACCCGGAAATTGCCTAAAAGTCCAGAAAAGTCCGGAAAGTTCTTTGCTGGAACACCGAACCCCTTTTCTGGCCTGGATATGAACCGGAAGTGGCATGAAATCTTAGACAAGTCTCAACGAGTTCGACTTCAGCTGAAAAAACCAGAAAAATCCCAAAGAAACTTTGCTAGCCTGCTTCGACTCTTCTTTGCTAGTTTTTTTACTGCTTTTGATGTGGAGATATAGGCCGGAAATGCCTTGAAAATCGTGAAAAATGCTAAAGTTTCTCTGCTAGCACCCCGGTTTTTCCCAGGCTATTAGTGCGTGCATATAAACCGGAACTTGCTTGGCAATCGCAAAAATCTTAAAAAATCTCTGCTAGCCTGCCCCTGTTCCCAAAGAATCTCTGCTGGCCTGCCCGACTCGAAATTCGGTTTTCCAAGCCAAAAAAACCTACTGATCCTCAGCCGCGTTTTCCTCACTTTCCGGGTCGATCCGAAATCCGACCGGTGCAATTTCACCCTTTTCCTCCGAGTCATGGAAATCCCCAG